CGGTGAAGGGGGAACGCTCCAGGATCACCCCCTGACCTGAGGGCAGGACACAGGGTGAGTGTTTATGTTTATATTTATGCATTTGGCAGACTTTTATCCAAAGCGACTTACAGAGTAGACACAATATTACATTTCTCATCACTATGACAATAGTGAGTGAGGCCCCCAAGCAGGGCTGTTAGCAGGGCTGCTAGCAGGCTGCAGGGCGTCCTGTTAGCAGGGTGTCCTGTTAGTACAGCGTCCTGTTAACAGGGCTATTAGCAGAGCGTCCTGTTAGCGGGGTGTTAGCGGGGCCTCCTGTTAGCTGAGCTATTAGCAGGGTGTCCTGTTAACAGGGCGTCCGGTTAGCGGGGCGTCCGGTTAACGGGGCATCCTGTTAGCAGATCGTCCTGTTAGCGGGTTGTTAGCAGATCGTCCTGTTAGCTGAGCTATTAGCAGGGCTATTAGCGGGGCGTCCTCTTAGCTGACCTCCTAGTAGACGGTCCTGTAACAGGTCGTCCTGTTAGCGTAGCTATTAGCAGGGCCCCCCGTTAGCAGGGCGTCCTGTTAACAGGGCTATTAGCAGAGCTGCCTATTAGCTGAGCTATTAGCAGATCGTCCTGTTAGCGTCCTGTTAGCGGGGCCTCCTGTTAGCGGGGCCTCCTGTTAGCGTAGCTACTAGCAGGCCTCCTGTTAGCGTAGCTACTAGCAGGCCTCCTGTTAGCGTGCCCCGGCCCTACCGGTGGTGAGCAGGTGCTCGATGGCGTCGGCGTACTGCAGCAGCCTCATCAGGTACATCCACAGCTGCAGCCGGTAGCTGTTCCCGTCCGCAGCCCTGGGGTCGGAGTAGAACTTCTCCAGGCTGCACATCCCGTTAAAGTCCACCGGGAGGGGCTGTTTCTCCCCCGTCATCTTATCCATGTAGAAGGTGTCGGGCTCAGGCATGTAGAGCATACCTGGGGGAGAGGAGAGGTGGGAGGAGGTGAGAGGAGGTGGGAGAAGAGGTGGGAGGAGGTGAGAGGGGGGGGGAGGAGGTGAGGGGAGATGGGAGGTGAGAGGAGGTGAGAGGAGGAGAGGTGAGAGGAGAGAGGAGGTGAGAGGAGGTGAGAGTAGGTGGGAGAAGAGAGGTGAGAGGAGGTGGGAAGTGAATGGAGGTGGGAGGAAGTAAGAGGAGAGAGGAGGTGGGAGG